AGTTCGCACGAAGACTTTCCTTCGGGTCGTGGAGCTGGCTTAATTGAATTATTGCCAGAAGGAGGAAGCCGTCGCAGCGCGAGCTCTTTTTCCCAAGAAAGGAACTCGTCTGCCTGATTAAGTAACAGTTCCCTGTTCTGAAATTATTTCCTGAGAATCGCTCGCTTTCTTCATTTAATTTTCATCTGGCCCCGACGGAAATTGAACGCGTTCGACCCACGAACGTTCATGCGAACGAATAGTTTTACCGACCGTAAATGAAATTTGACGTTATTTGACGCTGAACAGGACTGAACATTTCATGAAGATGCAGGGATAGATTCTATGAAAGGACACGATACTGAAAAATACTATAGACGTTGCGGATGTCGTGCGGATTATACTTTACGACAGCTTTCGTCGTCGATAGTTAAGATCATTCACAGGAAAGAAACGCCCCGAGGACAGGTTTCAATAAGAAACAATTGTTATCGAACGACTAAGCCTCCAGGTACAGCCGCTCCGTGTGAATTTCAGCGATGAACAGTAACGAGGAAAGTTCCAAACACTTTGTTAACTCTTAAGGAACTACCGTAATTATACTCGCAATAAATCAAGAATGAAAGAAAATCTACTTTTCAGATGAATTAGAAAGGAATTTAGAGAGGAAAATTGACGCGTTGTACGACAAAGAAACACGGTATTCGTTCATTTAATTATTTATTTATTTATTTGTGGAAGTAAAATTTCTCTAAACTCGAGGGAAACTACCTGAAAATAAACCGGAAATTCTGAGAACTGAAAGGAAGACATCTTGATACAAGAATATTCTTTGGCATTTAGTAAGTACAGGATTGAATTTCAAGGCCAAAAAAAATTTTTTTTTTTTTTTGCATTGTATTCTACTCATCACGGAGGTAAAACCTTTCCAAGGAATCATAACCTAGTAGTTCTGTCAAAAAATAGCAAAAAAGTTTTCTAATCATTTAATACTGCGGACGCGTGCGTTCTAACAGCGACTTTATGTCTATTTTACGTAACTTTCGTATTAGATTTCACTAACATTTGATTTATCATAGAATCAGAGTCTAAATAATCAAACGATAAAACTGTTAACATTATTGTATACATAAATATTACATCCACGTGCCGAGAAGCATAAAGTCGCTGTTAAAACGCACGCGTCCGCAATGTTAAATGATTAAGAAACTTTCTTGCCATTTTTCAAGAGACTATCATTAGGTTACGATCTATGGTTTCTTCGAAAAGTTTTGCCTTCGTGACGAGTAGAATACAATGCAAAAAAAAGAAAAAAAAAAACTTTTTTGAAATTCAAAGTCAAAGTCAATTTTGCGGCAGGTTCTTTACACGTATTTCCATGAAATCGAAGGTGTAGAATTCATTTATGATAGCCACGGACAAACTTTTTTTTCCCTACCCTGTAGAAGAGATCTACCAGAGGAGGCAGTTAGCAACTCTGGTGTGTACGCGACTTTACAGCCTTAATAGCACGAACCTGCGATCCGATCTTATCGGGGCTGTATAGGCCAAAGTACGTAAACCTGTACATACATACAGAGACGATCGTGTTCGTATATCTCCTGCGATATTTACGATGGAAGCTTCGGAACTGGAGCCCCTTAAGGGACTCGGTGACCGACGAACGCGTGTTTCGTTTCCCCGGCCAATGGTACCGGTAGCTAATGGCGTTTCGTATCAGCATGAAACAGGTTTAAATTGCACGCTATACGTTTTCACGATCAAATAGAATCTCCAGCTGGCCGGGGCTTTGGAAATCCTATATTCCTCGTTATAGTTTCGAAAGTTATGAAACCTGTTGAGAGCGACATTAACACTTGCCTCGGGTGTCGGAACAAGCGCAACGAGAGTTGTCAATCTCGGGCAAAGATGTACGAAGAAACTCTTCGTACGCGATATCATTCGATTTTTCGAGAATTCATCGTTTGCTAATTTCTTTTCTTTTTTTTTTTTTTTTTTTTTTTTTTTTTCACGTACAACTTGAAATCTCATCGGTACGCCGATGTATTTTTAATTTTCTCCAACTTGCAAATTTTGAAAAATCTAGGCTACTGAAGAGACACCGCGAAAATGTTCGAACATTTCGAATTCTCGTTTGTGTGACGATTAAAAAGAATTAAACTATTGTCGAAGAATCAATTACGCGGCGAGTTGAAAGCGAAACGTGTCGACGACGAGTCGATGAAAGATTTAAACCAGCTCTACCGTGAGAAATTCAGAAGTTGTACAAAAGCCAGGCTTCCCGGCAGTTCTCCTCTTTGAAAAATAATTGCTTTCGAGGGTCCCCTTTCAGTCTGCGATGATACAAAGCGCGCAGCCGTTGCTCCGAGTCAGCTGACGTGAAAAGTAACCATTTTACTGGGTAAACAGGGACATTAACACCAAATACCATTTGTGCATTAAGCTAGTTATATACATGTGATATATATAAATTGCTCATAGAGATACTAAATGTTTTTTTATTAAACGCAGGCACTTACGTATGTATTTTTGCATCTCTGTAAATGCATATTTAAACAAAGAACCATTCTTCCCTTCTCTGAATCTATTAAATGCTAATTCTGTACCGGGATAATTTTGAGAAACGAAATTGCTATATTCGTGGCGTATATTCCTGACATATTTCACCGGAACACAGTTCAAAAATAGACTTTATACGCGAGTGAGTCAAATTGAAGACCGTGTTAGAACGAGACTCGCAGAATTACTCGAGCCAGCTTCTGCATGGATTTACATGTTATTTACGCAAAAATAAAATGCCGAGAGAGAGAGGAAAACGAACAAAATGTGGATTTTGACCTCTTTTCACGCGGCATGATTACTAATTCCGGGCGCATTCGTTTTGACTTTTTAATTCGGAACAACTTAAAACTAAAATAAGCACGAATTAAATAGTAACGAAGTTCTACGAAATTCTGATGTTAAATCGCTTCCAGCTTCAAAGACGAGCTTTACATAATATCCGCAAAGTCCTGGAGCAATTTCAAATATTAGCAATCCTTTTCACGGAAATTCATCCGACAGGTGAGACTTTACTGAGTTTATAAAGAAAAAAAAAAAAAAAAAAGATTCGAGTGCTATCTATATATATATATATATATCGTTTCTCAAAATTACCCCGGTACAGAATTAGCATTTAATAGATTCAGGGAAAGGAAGAATGGTTCTTTGTTTAAATATGCATTTACAGAGATGCAAAAATACATACGATATTCAAACGTAAAGTGCCTGCGTTTAATAAGAAAACATTTAGTATCTCTATGAGTAATTTTGTATATATATATATATATATGTATTACGTGTACAAAATCCTGGACAATATTTTGATTTGGAGAACAAACAAATCGGTATGTTGAATTTCACCGTTCGAGTCAGTTGTCCGAACACAAAGTTCATTCATGGTAAAAACTCAGCAAATACCGTGAATCAATCGTCAACCACGCATGAAAGAATATATTTATTCGAAAAAACCGTTTAAATCAACGTTTAGCTAGTGATAAAGTGTGCATATCTCTGACCGTGAATTATAAATAAATAAAATTATCTCAAAGCTTCAATACGTTATTTACTTATTTCTTTTCATAATTAAATATAATAAATATCAAAATTAAACGTAATTCGTGCTTTTCTCATTGAAAAATCGAAATATACTTTTCTTATTGAATGGTAAACACACTCGAAACTCCAGCTCGAAGGAGTTACTGTAGATCTTCATGCGAACAGATTCAGACATGATCGATACTCTGTGAAATATCGATCATTCCTCAGAACAGTCATCTAACAATACACAGTCAACGTCTAGCTCGTGACACATTGTCTTATTCACGTCGTTACGGATTGTGCGAACGCACGAGTTTACAAAGAAATCGTTTCTCCACTGATTCGTGACTCGCGATATGAACGAACGGGGACGAACGAAGGAGAGAAAGAAATGAGAGACCGAGAAAATTGTACCTGATGTATTGGATGTATCCGTGTCTGGCGTCTTCGAGGAGGAACCCCGGGTTCCGCATCTCGACGCTCTCGAACACCATCGAGTCAACGCATGCCACGAAATCGTAAAGCCTCTTTACACGAGCCGCGAGACTCGATCATTCGACGAATCTGAACACCGCACTCCGATTCACTTCATGGCACGCAGCTTCATCGTTCACGAGCGATGCTTGGAGGAGCAGCATCTTACACCATTGTCGAAAATCACGAGCGATGCGTGCGAGGGAACTGTTCACCAAAAATCCTTTGTTCCGAGTCCATCGGTCGGTAAGGAAGAGAGACGCCGGGACACTTGGAAATTCGATGAAATGCACGGAGCCAAGCGACCGAGATATTCAGGATATTCGATAAAAGAGAACGCGATAAAATGAGAGACAACGTGCTCGAACGACCGAGGAGAAACCCAGTTGAACAGACGTTCACGATTCGACGTACGCGAGGCAACTGAAGTGCGAAGCGAATGGTGGAACGGTGGGAGTCCGGTCGTCCCCCCCACCGCGCAGCAATTCGCACCGCAACGACCCTAACCTAACCTACCGGACCGAAATACGAGTCGGTCGATCGAGGAAAGCGTGGAAGCATGGAAAACGGAGGAAAGGACGTGTTCCATGGCACCATAACACATTTCCGCCCTCTGTTTACGATTCTCTGCGTATGTATATACAATTTCGTCGCGCATGCGCGCCGCTTCTACCTTTGTCCTTTTATCTGTCGGTCGTTTGTGTCTCTTATCGCGATTTAGGACGAATCGAAACGTTGCTCGGAAAGCAGAGAATAAGCTCGAATGTAGATAAGGGAAAATGGAGTACCAAGGAAAACTGCGGAATAGTAGAAGGATAGAAAGTAAATTATACCGGAAAGTAAAAAGTAAATTTGATACCGGAATAAATTCTAACCTTAGAAAGGTATTCATTTTAAACAAGAGATGAAACAAAATATTGTCATAAATCACAAATTCAATGAGGACACTTGTAACACGTGCCCTTTTTCTAATAATTGTCCTTTTTATATTGTACACACGACATTATAACAATTTCACGTTTAATTAAACGTTACACAATACGAAGTAAACAGCAAAATGTATATCATCGATCCGTAGTATTTTCATCTGCCGTAGATACAAAGGAAGACCTTGAGGATTTTCTGTCATGCGTTTCACCCTCGACGGAACACCAGCCTCGAGATTTTAGATAGACGCAGGCATATTTCTTTCTCTCTCTCTCTCTTTTTCTCCTTGTTCGTGTGCATATCCATTCAACAATCGCAAAAGCTCGTACCTGCGAAGGCGTACACCACCTTTACTATATTTCTCTCTCTCTCTCTCTCTCTCTTCTTTTTTCTTCCTCTCTTTTTTTCTGAATTTAATCGCCAGACGGTGATCCGCCAAAAATTTTTACCACCCGATGAACATAGACAAAGGATAACTCGTCTGATCGTTAACTCGATCGCTAATCCACTCACCCGCACGACGTCGTCTGCCGCGTTTCCCTCTTTTCTCTCCCCTTATACAACCCTTTGCTCTTTCCACGCACAAAGCGATGCAATCGATAACCGCTTATTTTTTACGCAGTTTGGTGGTTGATCATGAACTTTAATCGCCATCAAAGAATTATTAGCCAACCAACGCGAATAAAAGCACACCCTGTGACTATCGATCGTTGTGACATTGAACATGATGACGACAGTTGTTTTGATACTGATTCTGATTTGTTCAGAAGAGGAAAAAGATTTGAAAATCCCATTCGCAATGAATCGAGATGAATCATTGTTTGAAACGAAGAGACCACGACCTTCCAGCCTGGTGTTCCTTACGACAGAGTATGGGCCGCAGATCATGCAGATTGTCGTGCAACGGATACTGAAATCCTTGGAAAGTGGTATCAATTGTCCAGGAATCTAGCGATGCCTACTCCGATCGTGTCAACAAGAAATATATTAACTACGTCTATGGGATTTTTTTTTTTTACGAAACACGATACGACGGATGCTAGCGCTTGCATAATTCTCTAACTAAGAATATTTTAGATCGTAGTTCAATGAGTTCCATGAGAAGCAAGAAAGAATCGCATTTCAAATATTTTGAAAATATCTGACATAACAATATACGAAAAATTTTGAGAATTCACGCATTATGCTCGTTTACGTAGTTGCATACGCGTCATAACAAAAGTTTGCTATTGGAATATTAATCACTTCTCTGTGGAACGTTCGTCGACAGGAAATTCGCGCGACCTTTCGAACCAGTCAACGAGAAAAAAATTCGCGTCAGCGATAGAAACGTAAATAGCGAGTGTTTCGTGCGTCTCTCATTACCAAGCCCATTGACAAGTGGGCGATAAACAGTGGAGAATCTATAATAGCAGCAGCTGCGGCTGCACGAGCCAAAGGTGAATGACCTCTAAAGAGAGCTACAAACCGAAAGAAAAATAAAAAAAAAAAAAAAAATCAATGAACACTCCGCCACGAACGCACTTATCGACAGTTGTAGAAAAATCGGGAAACGAGGAATTGTTCACTTCAATTTATCATTTATCATTCGAATAACAGTCATTCAAATAACTTCTTACGTAACATGTTATCTGAATGCAATTTTACATCGTATCGTAGTAATATCGTAATAATATCAATGTCATTCGAAGATTCATTCAATTGAATTTTATCGAATAGGAAAATACGTGAGATCTCGGGACGAGACGTCAACGTCGGTCTCGAAAATATTCACGAAAGAGAACAACAAGCAGCCTGTACGGCTGTCGCTTTCGTCGGTAAATGCGTCTGAGTAGCATAACGGCCATCCAACCGACACGCTCCACGCGTTTTACCGTGCGCATGCATCTTCTCTTCTAGCTCGTCGTCGAGCGTCGAGCAAAAAATCTCGGGGAGAAGGAAGAGATGCAGAAAGTGGCCACGGCAGTGGTCTCTAGGCCGCCAGTTACGTAAATACCGGAGGAGCACAATAAGATACGCAAGGTGTTACTTCTGTCTGGTGCACGGTTGCGTTTGCGCCCGTTTCACGCAAGTTCGCACAAATCCGCTTTCAGCGATCTCTCGTTGCGATGCTCGACGCGTTTTCAGCACGCACGAACCATTACCTCGTTCCTGGCAACGATGCCATTTACGGCCCGTAGAGCAATTAATGCTCCGAAGGAATCGCTGACTACCATCGAGCTTCTCCACTGTTCGATTGCTTCTTCCTTTTTCTGCTCCTTTCTCCCACTTTTTTCTCCTCCTCTTGTGAATGAAGGATATCGTACGCGCAGAAGGTGTTCATCAGTTGCAACAGTTACAACTCGAACGAGTTTAATCCTCCGCCAACTGTGCCGGAGTCATTTCTGACCCTTGTTGAGAGTTACTCGAATGCAATAACGCACACAGTGATGGCAGCTGCTTGTGTTAGTAGCTGAAACCTGATCGCACTAACGCACGAACGCCAAAGTGCCGAAGTGAAGGCAAAGGAATCAGTTTTGGCAACGCTCCGAGGAGGAAAGACGTGTACAACAAATCGAAGCAATTATTATTTTTGTTCTCTTTATTACTTTTTTCCCCGTTGTTTATATTTGTTGTTTCCATTTGTTGACACAATGTCCTCATTGCCAACGAGTAATATTTCTTTGTCTTCTCTCGCTCAATATGCACAAGACGTTCCTTACAGTGAACAATCGTCAGACAACGGAAGTGTATCAAACAGCGACGCTGAACCCGAAATGCAAGATTCCGAAGTCGAAATGCAAGAAGGTAATATATATCAGAAACTGTGGATAATGGCAGTTTTAGAAAACCAGGAATTTGGACGTAATTGGCAACGTATTGGACCTAGCAAGGATACAGCGACTGTCTCTCGTCAATGTATAAATATAAATAAATGTAACTTTATTATTCGTGTGATTATTATTTATTTCTATATGCTCCTACATGTTCCTATGTGAGATGGATGTCATTGTGTTGGTACAATAGCGGTGAGGACGATCTAATAAATATGTGTTAGTGGAATGTCCGTGTGGGTTAGAAATGACTCCGGCACAGGAAACTCTATGCTGCAGTAGTCGGAGGGTTAAAGAAGACTCACCGTAGTTTAGAATTAAAAAGAATCGCTGTCCAAGACAGATTCAGAAAGGAGCAGAGAAAAAAGGAATCCATTTTTATTCGGTTTTCGCCGATTGCTCAGATGACTAGTTGCAATGAAACGATACGAGTTTATGCACTCGTCTAGCAACGTGTTTACGTGCCATGATTAATATCATACGTATTCTGTTTCTTCCGTAATACAGCCGATACAATATACAATAGAGTATTATTGCTGCGCGTATTATTAATTATCAAGGTACGTGCGCAAAACATTTGCTCAACGATACTTCGAGTTGAAGGCACACTTTGACAATATCTCGTGGAAAAAGCTTACAGTTAATGTGGAGACTTTCGTTCAGTTTCGATAGATCTACTGCTAATTAATAATCTTCGCCCTCACGGGGCGAATTCTTTGCATTTCTTTAAATGAAAATTTAACTTTCTAATTCTTTTCTTTCCAATTTGGATGTCGTGTTCTTTGTTTAGACCAAGTTAATGGCTTTTAGGCTGTGACATCAGGATTTTAGAGGTGCTAAGGTGGGGCATGACCCATGAAAAAAAGTTGGGAACCACTGATCTAGACTCAGCGATATATCTCTTGGAAATTATCCACATAATTTTCAAACGTAATTCCAGCACGCGCGTTTCCCAACGTGCAATTAGCAGTTGCACGCCATCTTCGTCTTATTCATCCGGCTTTTCGAAGATAGAAGCATCTCAAACTCATGACTGATTGATGCTGCGTAGCTCACCGTATCGGCGAGGCAAACTCATGCCGACACGCAACACCGATTCTAAATTTAATATTTCCCACCGTGAGCAGCATCGAAAGATGCGGAGAGGAGAGACCGAGAGTAGTATTCCGAATCTCTATGCTGTTTACTCGTGCAAAATGCCATCGGTATTGTGTCCGAGCGAGCCATCGTTAACGAAGGAAAAGACATGCAACGTCCGGCCATTATTCTCGAAAGAGAAGTCGTGGCTCTTTGTTAGTGAAATTTACGAACGGCCGAGAATTCCGTTCAAGGTAGACTACCTTGGTCGGCTTCGGTGTCCACACGGGGGTCGTCGGAATTATTCGCAACCTGCGTTTCTCCTTTCCACCTGCGATGCGATCTAGTCGAAACGAAAAATCACGCAATATTTCTGCGCGTGCGATAAGGCTCGCTGGAAGTTTTCGATTCGTCGAAATTTCGATTTTTAACGAAGATCATGGAACTTTAGATATGGACACGTATGTATGTATGTATGTATGTACAGCGAGGAGAGCAACCGTACCGATGTGATAATGAGAAATTATCGATGCTTTAAAAAGATCACGTAATGATTCCCTTGCTCTCATTTTGCAGCAAATCTTTACTTTAAAAAAGTAGCGTTTTCTTTTTCTCTCTTAAAGTTTCAAAAGTTTTATTTTTCTCTTGATGATTTAATAGCGAGTAGAAACACTAGTAGAGGATACTTTTCCCCCGAAAATTGTAAAAATTTGAACTTATGCTAAAAAAATTGTTTTAAACTTGAAGAATTTAAACTCAAAAAATTCAAATTTATCATACATTTTTTGTTATTTTGCGTTAAAACAAAAATTCCTTTTATAAAACTAACCCAAGACCATAGTTTTGAAGATTCAAATTTTCTCTTCGCAACAATCACTCTTTTTTCACCGTTTTATTGAGTTTTGAACATTAGGATTAAATGACGAAATTTCTTTTTGTTCAAAGTTCAATAAAATGATGAAAAGAAAATCGTAGAATAAATTTTAAGAGCTCGTTGTAAAAAGAAGAGATTCTTCTTTTACAAATTTATTAATTATCGTTATTGTTATTATTGCTTAATCGATTTAAATTCTAATTAATTAATTATTGTTTAAATTCTAATAAATAATAAATTCTTCTTTTACAAATTTATTATTGTTATTATTGTTACTAATCAATTTAAATTCTAATTAATTAATTACTATTTAAATTCTAATAAATAATAAATTAATTATTGTTTCTGAATTCTAATAAATTCTTCTTTTACAAATTTTACTTCTTTTACAAATCAATTATTGTTATTGTTATTATTGTTATTAATCAATTTAAATTATCGACAATCTTTCATTGCCACTGGCACAGTTATGCCTTTTCACTAGATACACCAGTTGTCCAGGAACTCTGGAGAAATACAGTTCTTATTCCACAAAGAAATGGAATTTCACTGGAATCGAGCGCGAGGCTAGGCGATGCTCCGACAACTCGAGAATTGTGGTGCACTTTCACGTTCCGTATGACCTACCGTTAATTCAATAGCCAACCGCAAACTTATTAGCGTCTGTCACGGGAACGCGTTCCCCTAAACCGAATGGAGTTAACTTCGACGCGCTGTTTCGTCGTCTTCAAAAGGAAAGCTTTCTCTGATTGTCGATGAAAATGTAAATAAAACTTAACCACTTAACCACTTGACGAAGAAATGGCAATTTCTTTTTTTTTTTTCTTGTCACTTGATTTAAATTTCTTGTAAAAAATAAAACGTACTTGCGAATGTTAGACAATTTTAGAATATTTTTAGACCAGACTCGACTAGCTCTTTTTATGTCATCTCTAAATACAGGATGATTCACGTGAACTTGCACGCGTGAGGTAACTATTAAATTAATGACGTGTCTAATGAAAAATTGTTTAATACAAAAGTTGCGTGCAACGCAACGCGTGTTGCATTATTCTCCCCGTTTGCAAACTTAATTATCGATAGATACTTTATCGCGCTTCACAAGAAACGAGAAATTCAAATGCAATTCGCGGTTTGCGGTTTAACCGCCGATCGTCTTTCCTCGACGATTCCCAGAAAACTTTCCAACTTTTGCGAGATGCATATCCCGAATTCCTTCACGGGCGTGGACTCTAATTATTCCGAAAGAATTGCGGCGAGATCGCTCGGGGCGCCGGTTACTCGCGATAACAAACAGCGCATAAATAATCAGGCGTTTTACACCACGTTTTGCTCTCTCTTTCAGCTCGAGTTCAAATCGAATTACTCGAAAGACAAGTTCAATTATAAGTATAAAATACTGCCAGCGTGGCGATCATTCGTTTTCGCGCGTCCATAAATCTGTCTCGTTTATATGTGAAAACGTTCCTCTATATCGAACTTCTGCGGTTTGATCTACGGTGGATCTACGCTTTTGCTCAACTGCACACGGGGTGTACGCTTTCAGTCGAACAATACTCAAACGATACAACAATAAGAATAACAATAACATTTAGTTTAATTTTGAAAATGGTCCAACAATGGTCACTTCGAGCTTCAAAAATCAATGTTTCCTTACAAGCTTCCACACAAAATTCCACAACCAGAATAAACTCTTACCTCGCAAGATCAAACATTTCGTTTCACATATATAAAAATATTTTTTTAATTTATTCAAACGCAAACCTTCCAAATACCTGGAAACGAGAAATATGTGTATGACTTAGGCCACTTTCATAATCACCGGCACAACTGAATCTCTATGCCCGTAAAAGAAACATCGTTTCGAATTCCAAGTTGGTTGGCCACAGTGGTCATTGAGAATGGAACACCTTGTATACATCTACAGAGAGGCGTTCGTCGCTGTTTAAACCGGCTCGCATGAATTACGTCGTTGTAAGAGGCAATCGTAATTCTCACGTCGTACAAAGTGCCTAGTTCTTTGCTTGCGTTTTTCTTTTCTTTTCTTTTTCTTTTCTTTTTTTTTTTTTTTTTCTTTTCGCTTGGCCAACGCGAGTTTATTTCGAAGAGCGCGAGCTCGCGAAAGCAATCTGAATATC